AACAATCAAAAATCAGCATGCCTGGAAATCATGCAGAACAAATCCCAGATATTTGGCATAATGACATTGTATCTGTTTGTTGGTGCAAAGGACTGAGATATTTCAGTCGATAGTCACTCTAAAATTCAATCATTCTTCCCTACATCACTCACCAATTTCCTTCCAAAAGCAGTCATTTATCATCTACTGTTTTTGAATGCAGGTGTTTTATCCTACTCATTATACTTGTTTATTTAACTTGATTTCCCTCACCACCACCAAAAACAAAAAAAACTGGTTTTAGGCAAACACACAGCCAATTTGATTATTTCTACTTCCCCTTCTACTCATTTTGTTTAAAATACTCAAGAGGTGAGCTCTTAATTAACATAGTAAACACACACAGTTGGGGTTTTTTTTTAACAGATGATATATACAAATAGCAAGGCTTATCCTAATAGCAATACATCACCTGTCTATCGTCCAGTGAAATTACAGTTTAAAATAGGACAACCTCCTATGTAAACAAGAGTTTACTAAGAGTGAAGCCATCCTCAAGAATACTCTCCTTGGGAGGACAGTAACTCAAGACAGAATGCCTCGGCCTTGGACTATCTTTAAAGTTCAGCTTCCTTACAAGTAAAAGTAAGCAGCATACAATTTCTCCCTTCCGCTATGAGAAAAACTCTACTCGGGGAAAGCTACTCCAAGAGTCCAAAATAATGTTGAGATTAGTTCTTAAGTAAGCAAATCTCTAATTATATATATTAAAAAGGTGATATTTACCACACAGCCTTTTCTAATAATAAAAAAAAGGACAGGTAATGAGATTAAGAACTGTTGTGACAAAAGTTCCCTTAGGAAACTGTTAAACGACAATTAAAATCACATTGCTTACCTTCTTTCCTTCAGCACAGAGTAAATTATACTTTTTTATGATTTGATATACTCAATTCTTATCCTAAAATCTTTGAAAGATCAGGAATATTGCCACGTTTAATTCAACGATGGGCATTTACTATTCCCCCAAGATCACTCAGGTAGCATACAATTTATAATAGCAGACTGTGTTAACAAGTTATATCCAATACATGCTATTCTGTAGGGATGAAAACCATTTACAAGCTCCATTTAGATTTAAGAAGTCCTCTGAGAAAAGTATGTAGTAGACTCTAGTAATAAATAGTGTTTCTAGAACAGTACAACTCTCTATAACCTATTTCTCTACTGTTTTCTCCAGAACCAACTAAGTTGACGGACTCGTAACTTCTTGCACAAAAAGTCCAAACTTCTATCCTTAATGACAGCTGGCTGCATTTCCAACACAGGCTAGAGTTCCCAGAAACTAAAACTTGCATCTCACTCGAAAGGGGCCTGGTAGGGCAGTGGTTAAAGTACTTTGTCTGCAAGCCAAAAGCTCAGGAGCTCGAACCCATCAACTATTCCATCAGAGAAAATCAGCTTTCATAAAAATACACACCTGCAGAAGCCAACCCAGTCCTACAGGGTTGACCAACTCGATGGCAATGGGTTTAGTTTCTGGTGTGTTTTTTAAGTCCCAACAAGGGACCCTGGTAGCACAATGGTTAATTGCTCCACTCCTAACCAAAAGGTCAGTGGTTCAAACCCAGGGAAGAAGGACAGGGTTGTCAGCTTCCACAGAGAGGACAACCTTGAAAACCTTACGGGGCAGTTCTAGTCTGTGCTATGATAACAATATGTCATGTAAAAATATACATAAATATTCAGGAAGAAATGTAGAAGGAACAGCTCCCAGACAAGGGCCAGTTAGAGATCAGAGGGAAAGCAAAGGAGGTCACTGGAGCCCTGGTGGCCTAGTGTGTTATGCACTGGGTTGCTAATTACACAGTCAGCAGTTCAAAATCAGCAGCCATTCTGTGGCCTGAAGAAAAGGCTTTCTACTCCCGTAAAGAGTTATCAGCTGGGAAACCCACAGGGACAGTTCTACCCTGTCCTATAGGGTCACTATGAGTCAGAATTGACTAAATGGCAGTGAGCGTTTAAGGTTTTTTCTAAATAAAATCATCTTTGAGACAAAACTCCCCTAATGCAAGTTGAGCCGTAAGCAATGGCTTCCCTCTTCTACAAAGCCAACAGCACCGTTTGTCAACGCTGACAAACTGAAGTTGAAGGGCACCACACACCGTTTTATTTACCTGCATCTTGGCATGTGATTCTGTCTCATTCCGAGGAAATCAAAGATCTGTCTACACGAGTTTCTGAAAGTACGTTTTATGATACACTGACTTTAAGAAATTCATATTAAAAACAATAAATCTTCCTTGAGAAATAACCCATTCATCTGAAGAATTCAAACTATTGCCTGACAGTAAGTATTGCAAATTCTCAAAAGGCACCATGAAAAGTACGAAGTTGCAAGGTTCATAATGTCACAGTGGAAATTTTAAATCACACAAAAAACGTTTTTGAAATTTCAGCTCCCTGTTTTCTGGCAAAAATGTCAAAGAACTTGAGCTGTATTCTTCAGACAGATGAAAGACCCTACCCAACCTACTAGAACTGCAAGAAGGCTGCTGATGCTAAAGAAGGCAACAGCTCCGGTCAAGAAGTACAGAGGGAGGAAAATGATTTGAGGAAATACTTGGGGAGACATGCTATCTTCAACAAAGTAAAGCTGCATGCAAACAAGGGACCCCTCTGGGCCAAACGGTCCTCGCCTAGAACACACTGCTTACAATTTGGTGAGTGAAACTTGCCAAGAATTTCTAAACCTGTGCATGTTGGGATTGCTCATTGTGGAAAATGTCTCCACCACTATTCCACAAAGAAAAGTGAAGTGGTTCGTACTCCCAGGTGAAGCTCCGCTGTACTAAATATGCTCCTATGGATAAACTAGATGTAAGGAAGATTTATTTTTTTGAAAAAAAAGTCAAGTAATGACTTAGGTCATGGTTTTCTATATAAAGTATTTCCAATTCTCAGAAGAGTAGGGATTTATTTAGCTTCCCCGAATGGGTTTAAGTGGTTGAGTGGAAAAAAGAAGTTTTATAAACAGCGCTTCCAACCTCAGGGTACGTTTGGTAAAGGCAATCAACTGTCACAATCAAGTACACAGAAATGTCCAATGTGAGGTTCCCAAGGTTACAGAAAATGTTTGCAAAACTCACAATAATCCAGTAACGTGCAGAAATGACTAAGGCAACTATGCATTTGATTTCATGCTGAAGGCAGTATTATTACTCCTACAGCTCACAGATGCAGTGCTGCAGGAGACTGTTCTCCTACTTCTGAAGAACACAGTGTCCTATTTCTCTTCAGACTGGAGATGTAAGGATCTGATCTGTGTAGCTGTTTGCTTTTCTCGAAAGTCTATGTAAAGTTGTTTACTTTTTTCGCAAATGATTTCTGAGTGCCTGATTATAGCAAAGGCGCCTTCCTCCCGTTAGGCCATTAGTCAATACATTGCCAGTTTGAGGTGTCAGCAAAGCATGGACATCAGCATCGTAAGCCACCTCGGGCTTCTACTTTTCTCCTTCTCAGTGTTCTTCGCAGTGCCAACGAGTGCCACCTAATGCAGGCATGTGCAGTTTTGTCACCTCTTCCTAGCCCCCCTCCGTTGCTGCGGAAAAAAATCTGAGGGATTTAGGTCAACAAAACAACTATTGATTTTTCTGTTGTATACATACCTAACTTTTCTTCTCCCCCAAGA